CTAAATTATCGCCTTTTTTTTAGTTTCATACATAAACTATTGAGATTGTGAGTTTCATACCTAAACTATCACTTTTTAGTTTGAGAAACACACATCAGTGGTGTGTGTAATACACTCTCTCTTTTATTTGAAAAAAAACTTGACACATGGCATTCCACATGGATAAAATATTTCACTTTGACAAAAAATAAATAATAAACTATTAATATTAATTAAAAATTAATAATTAAAGTGTTACTATTCATAAAAAAAAATTCTTATCCCCACTCCACCACCTCCTCCACGTACCCCCCCCCCCCATAATCCCCCATCCATTTAAAAAAATTAATAATCTTAGTATAAAATATTTTTAAAAAATTCATAGTTCACCCTCTCCCCTCCCAAAAAAAGCCACCCACTCATTCCCCCACCCCCAAAAATAATAATTTGATATTGTTTTATTTAAAAAAAAAAAACAATAATTCTACCCCATCCTATTTAACCTTCTGCTCCTAATTTTTTTTTTTTTTTTTTTACATGTTTCTCATTTTGTGTTAGATATGTACCATACATATATTTTTAGAAAAAAAAAATTCTACTTTTGTACCGAATATAACATAAATAAGTAAAAAATTAAAAAATGTCTTGCGGCGGCAAGTAAAATATATTTTTGATATGTATATATGTAACACCAAATGAGAAAAAAAATTGGAAGTGGAGGGTTAGGTGGGGTGGGTAGAATTGTTTAAAAATAAAAATAAAATAATATCCAAATTAGTTTTTTTTTTTTGGGGGGGGGGGGGGGCGGAGAGGGAGATGAAGTAAACACAAATAAATTCTTTTATAAAAGAGAGATGTGTATTTCTTAAACTAAAAAGTGATAGTTTAGGTATGAAACTCACACTCTCAATAGTTTAGGTACGTAAAGTGATGTATCCGACCGATACATCGCGTAAAGTGATGTATCCGACCGATACATCGCGTAAAGTGATGTATCCTACTGATACATCGTGTAAAGTAGGAATTTTTGTAAATTTTTTTCAAATGATAAGGAATTTTAGAGAATATAATAAAATAAATTATATATTTAGATTATTTTTCCTTTCAATTAATTATATATGAATGATCTATTTATTTGGACATGTTTTGTTCTTAGATTCAACTTAATAGGTTTAAGAAAAATGTTATTGTTGTAATTAGGTAAAATGTATAGTTCTAAAAAAATTGTAAACAAATGATGTTAACTTTAAGAACAAATATATTTAGTCATACTACAAAAAAAGCTCACCAGTATAACATTTACATGTCACTTCGTATGTGGTTCATAAAAAAATGCCAGTGATTTTTAAAAAAAAATAAAACTCTAAGAAATTAGAATTGTCAGATTATTTTTAATGAACTTTTAATACAAATATGAATAAATTCTATATCTTAAAATTTTAATAATTTATACATGCGATAATTTTTTTCCCTTGATTTTTTCAATCCTTTTAATGAAATTTTAAATTTCAATACAATGAAAATTTAAAATTAATTTGATCTCCTAAAAGCTTTCATAACTGATACAGATAAAGTAACTCATAGTTAAGTCATATAGAAAAAATTACTACAATTTTTAAGTGGGTTTATAATTTATAATGAAAAAAATAAGGAAAGTTTTTCAAAACAACAATATTTTAGCTTTTAATGGAACTCCTTAGCAATAGTTTCACTATTTATTTAGTCAATATTTTAGTTTGTTAAGAGCTGAATTATGTATTTATTTTATTTTGATTAATTTGAAAGAATACAAATAATTAATAATAGAATAGAGAAAATCATGAAACAGAAAATTTCAAAAAAGGTAATTTTTAAAAAAAATTTAACATTAGTTACGTCTTTGAAATCATATATTGTCATTTTTCTTTCTAGCATTTTTTTCCTTTGTTCTTAAGATTTCAATTTTTTTTTGAAAACAGTAGTTTGTATTTTATATCTTATATAAGTGGAAATGTTGGAAAATTTCTAATGCCCTCTGTTTTGGATATTTAAATGTTTGAACTTCTTTGAATATGTGTTCATCCGAAATGTATTCGAATACCTAATGATATGTATAACTAAATTAAAATACAAAAAATATTGGTATTGAATTATGATGAATACAACTCTTTGGCATTCTAGTTCAAGTACAAAAATAAAGGCAGTTATGAAGTATATATCAAAATATAAATACAAATTAGTTGTAAATGTATTCAAAATAAATTGTATTTATATTTCAATATCCAGTTTTGTTATATTATTATTTCACTTTAAATTTGCAGAAAGTATTTTCTGGCTCAGTTTTTATTTCAAATATCAGGTTGCATTTCAATATCATTTTGTATATCAAACGCATAATGAATACATATAATTTTGTATTCCCCTTCTTGTGATGCATTCGACGCAATTTTATATTTTATGTATTCATAAAAATTATATTGCTTTAGCCAAATAAAATACAATATATATCTTACTAAGTTTGTATTTCAAATATCAGGTTGTATTTCAGTATTATTTTGTATTTCAAACGAAAAAATGAATACCAATAAGTTTCTATTTCCCTTCTTATAATGTATTCGTCACAATTCTATAAATTATGTATTCAATCATAATATATAGAATTGTAACGAATACATTATATACCAATTTGAATGACTACAAACTAAAAAATAAATACAATGTTTTAAAATAAAAATACAAATGATGAGTAAAAGAAAAACAATTGACAAACAAAAATTAATATGAATACAATTCTGGTATGAATACAATTTTGCAACCTTCTCCTCCTCCTCCTTCTTCTTCTATGTTCTTTATTCCGATTTTTTTCATCAAAACCAAATCTGAATCTGTATTCACTTGTGCATTAGTAACCCTATAAGCAAAATTCGAAATTATTAAATATGAATGTATAAAAAAATTAAACAATATATGATGTATGGGTGCTAGTAGATTACTACAATCTACTAAATCTCAAATATGAAAACAAAATTAAAAAAAATCGAACAATAGTGTTTAAAAGTCGAAAAATATGAAATACATAAAAGAGGGAAATCTCAAAAAATACTTAATGAATCTGAAAACAAACTCACAAAAAAATGAACAATAATGTTTAAAAGTTGAAAAATTCAAAATACAAAATACTTGGTGAATATGAAAACACCAAATCTAAAACCCTAAGAACAAATTTCAAAATTATCAAATATAAATGTATTAAAAATCAAACAAAATAAACATATGAATGAATTTGTAGATTCTAATAAATGTGAAATTTTAAAATGAAATCACAAAAAAATCGAAAAAAATTGTTTAAAGGCTAAAATTCTGAAATACATAAATATTAGATGAATATATAAACAAACTCGCATAAAAATTGAAAAAATTGATTGAAAATCCGTAAAGTATACAAACCAAAATATACCACCATAATCGGTGATTTTGAAAACAAATCAAAATAAATCTACATAAATAATCGAAATTACCTTTACCAATCGAGAAATTTCTTGAATTAATATAGAGATTTTGTATCCAACGAGAAATTTCTTGAATTAATACAGAGATTTTGTTGAAGAATCTATAAGAACTTTGAATAATTTGTGTTTCTAGGTTAGCAGAAAAACGTGAAGAAAGAGAAACTGTGAAAGGTGGGGAGAAATAAATTCTTTAACTGAGAAATGTGTAAGATGTGGAAAGAATATTAATGGGTAGTTTTGTATTTGTTTTTTATTTTTAATCGGTTATTTGTTAGAATTTGGTCCAATGATGGACTCTTTTGATAATTAAAAGGAAATATAAATAATAAAATTTGGATCAAATTATTTTTGAAAATATTGACATTTTGACATTTTAAATAAATATTTTAAAGTGTAGTTGTTTTGACTAATTATGTTAGGTATTATGACTAAATAGCTAATTTTTCCAAAAAGAAAAAAATAATAATATATTATTAGTGCAATATCGAATATAGATTTATAATACTTCATCCGTTTCTTTTTATATGTCACCTTTTTAAATTGCACTTGCATTAATAAATTAAGTAACTTTAGCCTTTTACCCTTTTTAATCTTTTTTTCTTAAGTCAACTTTTCAATAAATGATGAATATTCTAGATTTCAAAAAGTAAAATGCATTTGGAATGACAACTGACAAGTATGAAGAGAGTAATTAATCAATGTATGACGTACTCCAATGAATATTAATTACTTATTAGTTTTCCTAGGTTGGCCAAAACATATATTTTCAAGACTAATTAACTACTCTATCAAGCGTATAATAGGAAGAATATGATAATTTATGCATTGATTTTATGAAATGACAAGTATTATGGTCCAACTATTTATAGAAAGGGATGACATATAAAAAGGAACGGAGAGAGTAGGTTGTTAGTTGTTTTTTTCCCTTTTTATCATATTAAGCAAATTTGTTTTGATCATAAAAACATGAAGTATTCTTTTTTGTAGTGTCTGATATTTGAATGTTGAAAGTTACGATGGCAATGAAAAGTATGAGTTTTAACATATAATTCGTTTTCCCCACAAGTTAAAAAATTTTAAAAGCAAATTTGACTCAATTAAATTTCAAAGTGAATATTGAACCCTGAAAGTCAAATTATAACACATGAATTTTCTAGACAAATTTATCACTTTTAAATTTTGTTTTTTTTTTCTTTCTTTGTCCTTTTGCCATATGGGGAATTATAACAATTAATATTTTCATTGAATTTCCTTCACCCCAACCAACTCTTAACATCTTTATAATTTGGGAGTCATGAAGCAAAATTAAAACACAATAATATCTCTCCATATATCATGGCTTCAATTTTCTTACAAGTTGTTGCACTACTTGTAGTGCTATACATTATTCAAGTATTACACAATAAATTCATGAAAAAGAATAAAAAAATCCCTCCAGGCCCAAAAGGGCTTCCAATTATAGGAAATCTCCATATGATTGGGAAAAATGTCCACCAAGAGCTACATCAAATAGCCAAAAAATATGGTCCCATAATGAGCATGCGATTTGGTCAAGTTCCTATAATTGTTGCTTCATCTCCTCATGCTGCTGAACAATTCTTGAAAAAACATGATCTTATTTTTGCGAGTCGACCAAAGAATAGAGTTGCTCAATTTGTCGCGTACAATCAGAGAAATTTGACGTTTGCAAAATATGGACCTTATTGGAGAAATATGCGAAAATTGTGTACGTTAGAATTGCTTAGTACTCTGAAGATCAATTTGTTTCAATCCATGAGAAAGCAAGAAGTTGGAAATTTTGTGACTTTTATCTATCGAGCAGCTACTAGTGGTGTTGAAGTTGATATTAGTGCCATGAGGATTGGAGATTCTAGTAGCGAGCAGTCAGATGCTATGGCCGATATCAACTTTTGTGCATCCTGATGCATCACCTTCATCTACAGCTAGACCTAGTGCTACACCAGATTATGAGATGCCTGCTTTAGCTCCTGGCCAAAAGGACAGACTTGGTAGAGTCATGATTGAGCCGGATGGATCATCGTAAGTTTGTTTTGTTATTTATTTGTTAGTTTATTTTATTTTTTTCTTATACTTTACTATATTATTCATGAACTAACATATTTATTATGTGTTTTGCAGGTGGCATCCTGCAAAGGATGCTGCCCGGGATTTAAAAGACTGTGTTAGAAGACTTTATACACATGCTTATTACTCTTGGAGCGAGATTCCAAACACTATACACCAGGCGATGTTTAATGAATTTAAGGTATATATTTTTTAGTTAAGTTTAGTATACTTTACTTTTTTTTACTATCGATCCAATTAACATTATTCAATTTTTTTCAGACTATGTGTACTTGGGAGCCGAGGTACAATTTGGTCATTACGACCACATTTGAGAGGAGGGCATCCGCCAGACTGTCTAGCTGGCTAAAGAAAGTTCGGGATAGTGGTGAACGTTCGGATTGGATGTTGCCTCATGTTTTTAATGAATTTGGTCTGTATTGGAACACAAACAAGTTTAAGGCAATGTCAGAACAAGCCAAAAAGGCTAGAGGCAATCTTAAGGATGGCTCGTTGCACACTAGAGGTGCAAAGACCGTTGGAACAATTGCAAGAGAGATGGTAAGTTCTAATTCAAACTTTTAAATAAATAATTAGTTGATTCATATATATCGTTATAAATTTCATTTTTTATTTATAGGAAAAAGAATTGGGATGCACTCCTATGAGACTGGAGGTTTTACTCATGTCAGGAGGAAAGAAAATGAGTCGGATCCGAATGTGTGGGTGGAGGAAAGGGACGGACGAACGAACTTTTGTAAGTTATTTAATATAAATAATATATATTAATAGTGAATATATTTATGATATGTATATATATTGATGTCAATTTTTATATTTAATATGCAAAATGACTTTCATCAGCACGTCGCTGAGAATCTAGATAGTACGGTTGAAATGACACCTAAATTGTCCACCCAGATTTGGAAAGAAAAAGTGGTAGGGGGGACACACAAGGGTAGAGTCTATGGTCTAGGCTCTCGAAAAGATGTAAGACAACTCCAGTCAAGCTTAGAAGGTATTGGATCATCACGTCAAGCCGAGGCACTTGACGGTGTTGAGATTGCTGCTATGTCGGCTCAAATAACACTAACTTACATCGGCACTGGGAGAGTCGGAGCGAAGAAGAGTAGCTGAACAACAAAGCATGAGTGAGACCGTTCAACAAATCAAAGAACAAGTCATGAACTTCGCTCGTCGACCTACTACTTCGGCTCCCGATGACACCGATGACGACAATACTGATGAGGATGATTATGTAGATTCCACTCCCTAGTTTAGATCTCTGGACATTTATGAACTTTTTGAAATTTTGAAACGAATTTTGAAACACTTTATAAGTCTTTAAATTGTGATTTAGATACTTTTGAATGTTATTTTAAGTTTGTTGTTTTATGTTTTGTGTAGATTGTTTATAATTATTGTGTGTGTTTGATTGGGCTGAATAATGTAGAATTGAATTGAATTATGTCAAAAAAATTGCAGAAAAAGCGACGAACAACGTGGTTTTGTCCATCGCTTTTCTGGGTTTATTTTTTAAAAGAATACAGAAAAGCGACGGATAGCGTGGTTTTGTCCGTCACTTTTCTGGAATTTTCAAAAGTAAAATTTCCAGAAAAGCGACAGACTGCATTGCCTTTTGGAAACTAAAAAAATAAAAATTAAAATAAAGCGACGGAGTCCGTCGCATTTTTTTTAAAAAAAATTATATAAAAAAAAGTCAAAAAACGTCGCAGTCCGTCGTTTTTTGAAAAGTTTCGAGACAAAAAGCGACGGAAGTGACTACATCACTTTTCCGTCGATTTTGACCAAAAAAGCAACGCAGTCCGTCACTTTTGGCCATCCTTTTTTGACAGTTTTTTAGTAGTGTAGATTGTATCAAGTATCAGATATCTTATCAGTGAGATTGTTTCGAGAAGTGTATATCAAATTTGGAAAGAGAACCAAGACCTTAAAACTTGTACGACAATTCATACATACACAAATACACATATATCTCCTCAGAGCTACCTACTTGCCTATCATAGATGACATAGATACACAAACAGATAGATATACATATGTATCTTCTCAAAGCCGCTCATTCATTTGCCATAGATATTTAAATACACATACACATATATATTTTCTCAAAGCTGCGAACTTGGCTGCCATAGATGCGCAAATACATAGATATACATACCCAATTTTGGACCTCCACAATATAAATTAATTATCGAGCTTCTTCAATTTCAAACTATTCAAAATAATTAGGTTTATAAAATTTCAAAAAAAATAAAAATAATATAGTTTGCAAGTAATTTTTAAATAGATTTGTCACCTTTTTATAATTTTCAAATAATGTTTATTGTTTATATATATTTATATGTATAATTAGTATATTTTATGAATATTCAAAAATCATCTCAAAAGATTTTATTTCTTACTTAAATATTTTGATTTAATCCAAAGTTAATATTTAAGTTAGGTTTATATTTTGAGTTAACTAGTTTTATAATTGAATTAATTATTTTATTTTGTTATAATTAAGAAGCTCGTTAATTAATTTATATTAATTCGTCTCATTTAAATTGTGGCAAAGCTCACCGATTAAATTCAATTTGATTATCGTGTTATAGCATTGCTAACCACTTTCTCACTTTATCCATAATTCATTTTTTGAGACCAAATTTTTGGGCCAAATGAGGCAGCCTACTCCAATTCCAATTCAACAATTCCCAGCCCACATCATTTTTCTTTTTCCAAGCTTCAAGACCCAGCAAAACAAAATACAAGCAACAGTAATACGTATTACAATACCGGACCCGACCTGCTTTGTCCTTCTTCTTTGCGAGAACAGCGATCCATCAACAACTATACCCTACCAAAATCCAGTAAAGCCAGTAACTTTTAGGACAACAACAATAGTAAAGGGCGTGTATGAGATTCGTAGCAACGTTCGCAATGTCAACATCGGCAGCAACCTCCAAGACAACATTCCGAACTCGGTATGGTCATTTTGAATTCCTAGTGATGTCGTTTGGTTTGACTAATGCTCCAGCGCCGTTTATGGACTTGATGAATAAAGTGTTTAGGCAATACGTAGACATGTTTTTGATTGTGTTTATCAATGATATTTTGATCTATTCAAGCAGTGAGAATGAACATGTGGACCACTTGAGAATTGTCTTGCAAGTTCTTAAGGACCAAATTTTTTTTGCAAAGTTAACAATTGTGAATTTTGGTTAAGGTCCGTAGCTTTCCTTGGTCATATTGTGTCAAGCAGGGGGGTTGAGGTAGATCCTAAGAAGACTGATGCGGTCAAGAGTTGGCCTAGACCTCTAACTCCTTCCGATATTAGAAGCTTTTTGGGTTTGGCCGGTTACTATAAAAGGCTTGTTGAGGGATTTTCTTCCATTAATTCTTCTTTTACGACTTTGACTCAAAAGAAGGATAAGTTTGTGTGGTCGGAAGCTTGTGAGAAAAGTTTCCAAGAGTTTAAAGATAGACTTACTTCCGCTTCAGTGTTGCCCTTACTAGAAGGTACACATGGTTTTGTGGTGTATTGTGATGCCTCTAGAGTTGGGTTGGGATGTGTGCTAATGCAAAATGGTAAGGTGATTGCCTATGCTTCATGGCAACTTAAAATCCATGAGAAGAATTATCCTACTCACGACCTTGAGTTAGCGGCGGTTGTGTCTGCTTTGAAAATATGGAGGCATTATTTGTATGGGGTCCATGTGGATATTTTCACCGATTATAAAATTCTACAATATGTGTTTATTAAAAAGGACTTGAATCTTCGTCAAAGAAGGTGGTTATAATTATTGAAGGATTATGACATGAGTGTCCTTTATCACCCCGGTAAAGCTAATATGGTAGCGGATGCTCTTAGCCGGTTGTTGATGGGTAGTGTGGCTCATGTAGAAGGTCAAAAGTAAGAGTTGGTTCGTGATGTGCATAGGTTGGCCCGACTAGGTCTTTAAGTAGTGGATTCCACAAAAGGTGGTGTGATGGTCCATAATAGTTTCGAATCATCCTTTGTGATGGATGTGAAGTCTAAGCAAGGTCTTGATGCTATATTAGTTGAATTGAAAGAGTCGGTACTTAAAAAGTCCTTTGAGGCTTTCTCCCAAGGGGGAGATGGGGTGCTTAGGTGTCAAGGTCGGTTATGTGTTCCAAATGTTGATGGTTTGAGGGAACAAATTTTTGGGAAGCTCATAATTCTCGGTATTCAATTCACCTGGGAGCCACCAAGATGTATCGTGATCTACGAGAAGTCTATTGGTGGAATGGGATGAAGAAAATTATTGCGGGATTTGTGGCCAAATGTCCTAATTGTCAGCGAGTTAAGGTTGAGCATCAAAGGTCGGGAGTCTTATCCCAAGATATAGGTATTCCCATTTGGAAGTGGGAGGTTATAAACATGGACTTTATTGTCGGTTTGCCTTGCACCTGGAGACAACATGATTCTATTTGGGTCATTATAGATCGAATGACAAAATCACCCCACTTTATTCTCATCAAGGTTTCTTTTTCGGCGGAAGACTATGCTAAGTTGTATATAAGTGAAATGGTGAAATTGCGTGGAGTTCCTCTATCTATTATTTCTGATTAGGGTACTCAATTTACTTCTCACTTTTGGAAGTCATTCCAAAAAGGTCTTGGTACCAAAGTTAAGCATAGCACGACTTTTCATCCCCAAATCGATGGGCAAGTGGAGCGTACCATCCAAACATTGGAAGATATGTTAAGGGCATGTGTAATAGACTTCAAGGTTAATTGGGATGACCACTTTCCATTGATAGAGTTTGCCTACAATAATAACTATCACTCAAGTATCAGTATGACTCTCTTTGAAGCCTTGTATGGTACGAGATGTAGGTCTCACGTTGGTTGGTTTGAGGTGGGTGAAGTTGCTTTGATAGGTCCCGAGCTAGTTTATGAGGCCATTGAGAAGGTCCGACTTATTAGAGAGACGTTGAGAACAACTCAAAGTCGGCAAAAGTCTTATGCCGATGTGAGAAAGAGGGATCTAGAATTTGAGGTTAATGATTGGGTCTATCTAAAAATCTCACCCATGAAGGGTGTAATGAGATTTGGCAGGAAAGGGAAACTTAGTCCCTGGTATGTAGGCCCTTACCAAATTTTGAAACGAGTTGGTAAAGTTTCCTATGAGTTGGATTTTCCAAATGAGTTAACTCCGGTTCATCCGGTATTCCATGTTTCTTTGCTTAAGAAGTGTATTGGAGATTCGACATCCATCATTCCCTTAGAAGGGTTTGGAGTTGACGAAAGTCTTTCATATGAAGAGGTTCCGGTGGAGATCCCAAGAGATTAAGAAACAAGGAAATGGCTTCCGTGAAAGGTTTTATGGAGAAATAACTTAGTTAAGGGTGCTACTTTGGAGGCCTAGGCCTATATGAAGTCCTGATATCCTCATCTTTTTCCTTCTACTCCTACTCTAGTTTGAGGTAAGTAGTTCCTCTTGAGTTTTCCTTGTTTTGGAAGTCATGTGTGTTGTATGTGTTTTCCATGATTTCCTATGTTATGCATGTTCTTGAGAAATTTATGTTTAGTATGAGAATGAGTTTTTATATGATTAATGTTCCTCATGGTATTGTGCATTGAATACAGATTGTCTATATGCTTTATGATATGAATTGATGAACATACTTTATATGTACATGCTTTTCTTGAGTATGGCATAAATGCTCGTTGAGGTTGTGTTGAGCATGATTTTAGTTTGGAGAAGGTAGTTCCTCCTATGAATATGAGAAATGTTGAGTTTTCATGCATAATGGGTTGTTAGATATAGTTCCTACTTCCATGTGATGCATTGATTATGTTTGAGATAGAGTTGATGTTACATCATTTGAATTGTGCATTATTTTGATGTTGCGTGCATGTTGGGCAACTAGTTTTGAGTCTTTACTTTCGTGAGGTGTCTAGATTGTCATTCGAGGATGAATGTTCCCAAGGGGAGATATTGTAACACCTCAAAAATTAGTAGGCTTTAGAGCTTAACGTGAGGGTTAGAATCATGGATGTAACTCCCTGTACCCGAAAGAGGATAGTGTAACCGTTTTCCAGAACCTCCAGGTTCCACCCACGAGGGCAATCCATGGACCATGGTTGGATCCACAACACGTGGGTGATCCCATAGGTGAATACCCTGGAGACTGCCTGAGGCAGTGAACCACGAGACCAGGACCCACGCCACGTGGATGGGTCCACGGTTCGTGGCAGGAAGTCGTGGGTCGAGGTCCTGAAAATTAAGTCCCAGAACCCAAACCACGGTTAACCAGGACAGACTGTTGGTCTATCCACGGTCTGTCGGTGAGGTCTCGTGGGTAGGGTCTGTGGGACGGTTAAGTGAGGACTTAAAGGTCTTTTTCGATTTTAATTAATATTAAGTGGTGTCGTTTTAGCCTTATTTAGACCACCTATATAAGGATATTAGACCCCTAAATTAAGTCATTCACCTCATTATTCCTAAAACCCAAATCAGTTCCCAAAGCTTCATCCTTACCAAAAAATCTCTCTCTAGAAAACCCAAAGAAGAAGAAGAAGAAAGTTGGAGCTAGGGTTCAAGGAGCAAGGTTCTTCACATCAAATTGATTGGGATTAATTTCTAAGGTATGGTAGTCGTTCATCCATGGATTTCTTTCATCCATGGAGCCCCTTCAAAATCCCAATTTCAAAGATTGAAATCCCCAAAAGTTAGGGTTTGATTCCAAAGTCATGTGTTTCTTTCAAACTCAATTCTAATGATTGAATTATGTTATAATATGTATGAATTGATGATTATTATGGTTTTTATGATGAATCCCCCAAGAACCTATGAAATCCCCATATTTCCCAATTATGATCTTATGATGTGGGTTTGTTGATGAAATCATTATGTTAGGGGATTATGCATGTAGCGATTGGTTTACTTGAATTATGTTTATATCCATGTCTAATGTAGTGAATTCTAGATGTTTTGATTTGATATGAGCTTTGACCCTTGAAAGTGCAAAATATGATATTATGCATGTTTTATGAAGTTTATGTTTATGCTTTAAGAACACGTTGGAAGTGAAGTGTCTATAATGATGATGTAATTGTGTATTGTTGAAAAGGGTATTCTCATATACACACTTATGCGTGAATATGACATGATGTGAAAGGTTTTCTCACAATATGAAGATTCTAAGGTTGAAAGGCTTTCGCACATATTGAATCTATATGTAGACATGGACGTTGAAAGGGTATTCTCATGCATGATCTAATGAGCTATCTTAATAAATTAAGTTATGACTTAATATGTAATCTGTGGTAATTAATGCTTAGCACAGAGTGGATATTGAATATGTGATGGAGGCTTTTACACTAGTTGAGTCCAGCTTCAAAATGGGATCCTTTTACACTAGTTGAGTTCGGGTTCCCAAAGTTTGTCTCATGAGATGGAGACCTTGTGCGCTAGTTGAGTCCCGATTTCTAGAAGCAATCTCCTTATCCAATAAACTATATTTAGCTAGTGGATCCACCTAATCTAAGAGTAAGGTTCTATCTTAGGTAAGTAGAACAACCCTTTTGGGTGTGGGTAACACCGGTGGATCATGTATAGCTCACATGTTCTCATGTTGGTTAAGGCTTATTTCCACAACAACAAGAACAAGAATATGAATTATGAACTATGGTTACTCAAGAAGCTTTTATGTGAGTTTTCATGGTCTTAAAGGTGTGAATATGAATGATGGGCTAAAGAGGTTTGCTTAGCACGGGTGAGATTTATAGGGTCTTGTCCATGCATTGCACAAGTATGTTTTGAGGGTACTTATGAAGTGTTTCTTTTATGTTATGATGATATATCCATTGACTATGTTTATGACATATGCTTTTCCACTATCTTCATGATGATATTTAAACTTGATAATTGCTTGCATTCAAATAAAATGTCCCTTTTAGCATGTTTTCAATATTTTTATGCATGGCTATCATACTTAGTGCATTTTTGTACTAACGCCTACTTTTTCTACATTTTTCCCAAAGGGTCCGGTTCTCGAGGTGATCATTCTAGTGGCTAAAGCTTGGACTTGTGTATCTTCCAAGCTTGTGGTGAGTCCTCATGGTTTGAGGACGGCTTTTTCTCATGATGTAGTTTCCTTTATTGTATTTCCCTTTGCGGACATGTTGTATGGGCTTGGCCCTATTTCATTCAAACATTGTAATATTGTCTATGTTGAGACTTAGTGTCTAGACTTCCACTTTTCTTTATGAAAATTTTAGACTTGAATTGTGTTTTTACTCTTATTGTTCTACTGCTTATGTTATGAGGACTAAGTGACTTGTATGGAGTCCTTCGGGGTTCTATACGCCATGTCAGATCTGGGGGGTACCCCTGGGTCGTGACAAAATCTAGTCTATGTTCTCACCTAGCCGAATTGACATCTGTGTCGCTTTGGTTTTAACCTATGATACTTGTTTATAGCTCTTCGCAACCCAATCTGTAATATGATTACCTCCTTGATATTAAGATTTCCGACCCCTTTTTGTAAATGATCTGCTTATTTCCTCATTTCGCCTCATTTTCGTTCTTGTTATTATTCAAAATGTTCGATTTTCAGATAGTTGGTTCTCATTTTGTGTTCGTTTTCCATACTTTATATGATATTAGTATTGTCAGACTTATTCAATCAATTTTGCTGGTATTTCTTTAGGGTAAATACTTTGTAAAAAAATTATTTCTCTCCTGCTAATACTTATCCTTATTTTGAAGTGTGGTCGCTGCTTGATAATATCTTCATAATGTATATGAACACATATGTTGCTTCAGTTTTAGTGCAGGACTTGAGTATGTTTATTTTGATCTTTTGTATCTTTATCTAGGTACATGTTTACTTGTTTTGGTTTAGTTCTAGTATAGTAACTTGATTCGATTTCCTTTTAGCTAAAAGTCGTATTTAGAGCAATATGTTTTAAATAAATGAATTGTCTTAAAGTATGAAATCTTGTTTCTTAGTTCTTTATAGATTTCAGTTTTAGTTTCTTTTTCCTCCAAATTGTTGCCTTAATTTTGTGCCTTGCTAGTATGATCATCTTATAAAATGGTGTTTGGAATTGACTTCAACCTCAGAATCAATTACTGTGTTGTTTTATTGTGATTCTTGACAAGAGTTCTTAATTATTTTTAGCCTTATAAGTCAGTCCATTCTTTAATGCCTTATGGTTTTGGTCTTTTAGTTTAGTTTATATTAACTTGTGGTTTTTCGTTAACCATTTCCTTTAATGCATAAGTGTATTTTGTTGAATAATGTTTTTCTAATGCCTAATTTACTTGGTTCTTGTCATAATTAATAGCTAATTAAGAATTGTTTTGTTCCTATGGTGATATATAGGCAGTAACACTCATTCCATTTCACTATTTTCTTATATTAAACCATTGAATTGTTACTTATATTTTTATTTATTTATGTTTGCATGTGAAATCCGCTTCGAGTTCGCCATGGACTCTATCTCATCTCCTCGCATCTTCTCGATTGGGCCAAAGGCCCAATTCTACCTTTTATCAAGCCAACCTTGTCAATAGGAAGCTGATACACATGGATTGGAAGTTGAACACCCAAGAATTGGGTTCCATGAGAGGACTATTGACTTGACATAACCGTATATCTTGAGAATTGTGAAATTGTGCGTTGTTAGTAAGTGATGATTCAGAAAGGACACATCTTTCTTATGACATTTTTCATAATATATATATTTATATTTCTAGCTTTATATTATCTCCTAACAATTTTATCAAGATTTGGCAGAAAGCACAATCTACATGCAGCAACAAGAGACACAATGCAATGTGGAACCTTATCTAAGCAGTGAACTGGGGCAATTTGTTGAGTTAGTTTAGCTTTCCAACATAGGTCAAAGAAAAAAAACATGTGTTGAATACGGTAAAACATTCCACTTCTCTATAAAAAAGGATGCAACACACCGTGAAGGCATGTGGGTTTTTCTTTGGGTTTATCGGTTTCAATTTCGCATCCAGAACACTTTTCACTCTCACCGGAGGCAACTTTCCAATCCAAGTGATAATACACCAAGAAACCTTTGAAAAATATGTCTGTGTAAGTTCTTAATTATGGGTGTGAAGTACATCACATTCATGGATAAGAGGTTGCAAGCCTCTTTTTCATACTCGAATTACTTGTCACTCCTCTAGAACCAAAGGTTATCTTGCATAATAGATTTCCTTTTCAACCGATCGAGTCAAACTACAAACAACCTGATTCCTAAGGTTTAAAGGATATGTAGGCGGACTCAATGTTGAAAACTCAATTGTATTCCAACATCCTCTCTCAAATCTTATTCTCGAGCATTCCGGTCTCTTCATAATTCGATATCGGGATAGCTTTTGAATTCTTTCATAATCGTGCGTCAAGTCAAGTGTATCGAACTTCAAGTGGCCTGAATTCTCATATAGCCTGAAATATGTAGGAAACCCGATTCCGGGGTTCAACTATAATTCCTAAAGTTCGTACAAAAATCCCTTTTCTAAATGATGAATATGTAGTGGGTCAAAATTGGATTCGTCAATTTCATATACCTCAAATTTCTTTCATCAATCCAAGTCAAACGAAGGACAACTGTTGACACACAATTTTGGACCTCCACAATATAAATTAATC